GGGGTGGGGGGGGGCGGGGGCCGACGATCGGCATGGGTGTGGGTCGGGCGCATGCCCATGGGCAGCGGGGCGGCGCGGGTGGTAACAAAGCCGTGAAAGGGGCTGCTGGGTGCTTGATTGAGTGCGTTCGCGGCCAAGCGCCCGCAGCTGCTGCGCCTCTCGCGCGGGCGGGCGCCCAGGCGCGGACGGCGGCGCGCAGAGCTGAGCAGGGGCCGGCCCAATAGGCGCGCCTTGGCGGCAGGCGAGCGGCCTCCCACACGGGCCCGACGCAAGAAGGCGGCGTCATCATGCCGGTGACGTCATAATGACGTCACCGTGAGGTCATCAGACGCCGTCGCAACGGCAGCACAAGGGCGATGTGCGGCGCGGCCGCACCCACGGGTGGGGTCGAATCGAGCCACCCGCACCAGGGACGGGCCTTAGGGTTTGTAAAATGGCACTTGCGGCACGTGTGCAGACGCACGGGGTTCATTTGGGGCGGACAGGGGGAGGCAGCCACTTTCCCAGAGCATCCCGAGCAATTTCGTTGCCGGAACGGGGGCGATAAATGAGGTGCACCGCCAAAAGGGCGTCTGGGTGTGCGGCGCGGCGCGTCCGTGTGTAGGGGTGTCTCAAGGAATGTGCGAAACGCGCGCCCGCGTGACGGGCGCCCGCCCGCAGATGCCTTGCATTGCTGGCCAACCCCTGGGGTCGAAGGGCTGCGGCTCTCCCCCGTGAACAGGCACAGCTCCCGCGGGCCGGGAGCAACCACGGATGGCGGCCCTGGCGGTGACATACCTGGCAGTGACATAAGTGTGCCGCCCGCTGCGTCAATTGTGGCGCGCCGCGCTGCTGCGAACGCAGTCCGCCTGGGACCCTGCGCCGCGCCGCTGCCAGGGTAAGGTGCCCTGCCCCCCAGGCGCAGCGCGGCCCGCAACGGTCGTATGTGTGCGTGTATGCAAACATGATTGGGGGAGTGCGATTGTTTGACGGATTGGCGGATCGTGGCAAGGCGGCGAAGGGTTGGTCATCAGGATCAAAGGATTTCAGGCCCGAGCTCAGCGGAAGAGAGCGGAGGAGACAACACCGAAGGAAAAAGGACCTAGGGGTTGATGCTCGCGGGGTGGGCTGCTGGCGCCCCCCGCCTGGCGCGAGGCGATGCTTTGCAAAGAGCAGGTGGAATGGGACGCGCCACACGCGGCGGCCTCGCCCCTGCCCGGTGGCCTGGCGTTGCGAGGGATTGCGCCGCGGGCCCCAAGCTGGGCAGGGCGGCGGGGCCGTGGGGGCCGCGCAGCCCAGCACGGCGGCGGCGGGGGGACGCAGGTGGTGGGGACATGGGATGGAGAAAGACGGGCAGAGATGCGTCGGCCAAGCAAACATGGAAGGTGTTGGCCGAAGAGTTGCTTGGGGGTCTCTTGGCCGCATTAGGGCCGCGCCGGGTCGCGACGCTCCGGCCAGCCACGCGGGCGCCTCAGTACCGGCTGCGCTTTCCGCGCGCCGCGCCGCCGTCGCCCTCGTCGTCGCCGGCTGGCGCGGCGCTGTGCGGGTTCTGGGCGCCGCTCGCCACTATTCCGTTGCCGCCGCCGCCGCCGCCGCCGCCAGGCGCTCCCATGTCGCCCTGCCCCCCGCACCCCCCAGCCGGCCACGGCTGCAGGCAGGCGCGGGGCGCGGCGGCGGCGGCGACGCCGCCGC